GTTTATTATTTTAACAATAGATGGGATGGTGCTGTTCTTATATCTATCGGTGCGGGCTCTTATGGGCTGAATTTTGTTGTAGTGGCGGACTGCACGAGTTTGGTGGGGGGGACAGGAGGTAGCGATGGCGAGGGTGGTGCAGTAGTCCACTGCCAAACCTTTCCAGTGGTTGGTGGTGGAGGTCACTGAGGGATGGCATTTCCAGGGTGGAGAGAGCGTTGGTGTAGCCGGAGTATTCTGCGCCGAGCATGATTCTGCAGGCCCTTTTCTGTACCTTCTCTAGCTGACGTTGTTGGGTGGAATTGAGAGAAGACGACCAGGCTGGCGACGCATACGTTAGTTTGGAGAGAATAAAGGCGTTGTAGATGGTCCTCAGCTCTGGCGTGGGTGTCCCAAGTGACCTTAGTCTTCGTAGCATGTAGAGACGGTACGAGGCTGCCTTGACTGTGTTATTTACATGGGCCTTCCAGTCAAGTTTGTTGTTATGTTCTTCTGGATGTACTTAATTACTGAAATTAATCCCACCAAATTTCAAGTCTGCGGGTAGATAGGTGGATCAGATAACGAGACGGTGGCTGGTGGTCGACTCTTAAGGTTGAATTATTCATATGAGAGGGAGAGGGGTAGTGGAGGGGTGTGATGGAGTGGAGTGGGGTGGGGTGGGGCTGGTCTTGGCACCCCGAACCATAGATGAACACCATTGCCTCTGCCCTATCGATCCTACCCTATCCCCCTTCCCTATCCCTCTACTCACCCCCTACCCTCCCCTCTTCCCTACCCAAACAGCCACCCTAATGCTTAAGATAATGGGTAGGGTGTGGCTGTCTTAGGTGGTAAATATGTGTGTGTGCCTCTGACCGCGTCCCTCTATCGAACCTCATCCCGTTCGTGTCAGATGTGAGAAGGGAGTTGTACCGCGTAACCCTCAAACGTACATGACAAGTTTTCTCTGGGTACTCAATTATCCTTTGGACCATGAACCACTGGACTATGGACCACTGGACCCTGGGAAATGGCCCTCACTAAATCTCTGGGCGGATGAGGTAGACAAAAATTCAGGGTGTTTCGAAAGTTACATTTTACCCTTCTCCTTTTCTCTCTCCTCTCCTCCACTTCTATCAATCTCTTCCCTCTTCTTGTTCTTCTTCTTTTCCTCTTCCTCCTTTTCCTCCTTCCGTCTACCTTTTTCCTCTTATTACTCCTTCCTTCTTCTCTTCCTCCTCCTGGTTCTTCTTCTCCATCACTTCGTCCTCTCGCCCATTCTTCCCGTTCACCTCATCTTCCTTCCTCCCTCCCCTCCTTCCTTCCTCCCCTCCTTCCTTCCTCCCCCCTTCCTCCATCATACCCCTTTTCCTCCCTCCCCTCCTTTTCTCCACCCACTCTCTTATCTGCCTTTCACCCCCTCCTCTCTCTAACCCCCCTCCTCTGTCTCACCCCCTCCTCTCTCTCAACCCCCTCCCCTCTCTCAACCCCCTCCCTCTGTCTCACCTCTCAACCCTCCCTCTCTCAACCCTCCTCTCTGTCTCACCTGCTTCTCCCCCCTCTTCTGGGGAAATAAGGGGCCTGGGACATCCTAATTAGGGGGGTGGGGTGGGGGGGGTATAAAACAGTAATTCGATCTACGTTCCTTAATTAAACTACATGTGATAATTGTTTGATTATTAATAATAATAATAATAATAATAATAATGATAATAATATTAATAATAATTAATAATTAATAATAATAATAATTAATATTATTATTATTATGTATTATTATTATTATTATTATTATTGTTATTATTATTATTATTATTATTGCTGAGTCATAATTCACCATTGAGTCTACATAAATCACTGCCGTGGGTTACGTGGGTGTGTGTGTGTGTAGGGAGGAGGGAGGGGGTAGGGTGAGTGTGTTGATCCCCGTATGGCGAAATATTCGCTTTGTTTAGGTTGAGACGTGGATGATGGGACGTAGCAGCAGCCTCATTAACTCCGGCCTGACGAATTGATGTTCATAATGACCCGTAGTCATGATGGTGGGAAGTAATTAGTGATCATTTGTCACGAGCTGGTTGTTGAGGGGGTGGGTGGGTCCCTCTCTCTCTCTTTCTCAAAGTTTATCTATCTATCTATCTGTTTACCTCTATATCCACCCATCTATCTATTTATCCATCTATCCATCCATACTTCTATCTATATCCATTCATGCATTTTTATTTACTTATTATTATTATTATTATTATTATTATTATTATTATTATTATTTTTATTATTATTATTATTTTTTTTTAGGCAATCAGGAAGAACCAACTCGACAGCCGTTAGGTTAGGTTAAGATTATGTGTACAGGTTCAACACACGACTCTTCCACGACCCGATTTTTTTCTCCTTGGATGTGAGCGTATATATTAGGGGGTGTGTGTGTGATGATTTTCTCTCTGGCTGGGTCACACACCTTACCCCAGCTTAGTGAAAGAGGATCCTCTCTCCCGTCTAGCCAGTGGCGTAGCTAGAGTGTGTGCCGCCCGGGGCGGCCCTTGAGTTTGCCGCCCCCCCCCCCGTGACCCTACAAAAAATACATATTGCACAGTGACTCACTCTTTTATATATATATATATATATATATATATATATATATATATATATATATATATATATTAAATAGTTTGCCTTACTGTTGTCAGACAAAAGCCACCCCGATCAAAGTATATGGCTTTTGTCTGGGTGGCTTTCGTCTGGGGGGGCTTTTGTCTGTACCCCAGTGAGGATAGTGTCTTAGTATAAAATCGCAATGCTGTGAAACAAAATCTTAATATTTAATCTCAGTACCGCAGCAAAAGTCACATCAATATTTTTTAACCAATACTTTAATATTTCTTACCTTATAGTATTATGTCTTCCAACGAAGTAAATAACTGGATCGAAAACACAAGAGAACTTAAAAGTCGTCTAGCCTCCCCTCGTCTTGTCACGATGGAGACTTGTGGAGAACTGAAGTGAATTGCTTGTAACTGGTGGATTGGTCGGCTGTACATGAACTGATATGACCCGAGACTGCATGGTTTTGCAGCTACTGGAGACGTTAATTCTTCCCTTTGTATCGGCGGCAAGTTAATCCTCGTCGTGTCTGACCTAACACCTGACCCACACCACATGAGCTCACTGGCGTACTTGTTTGAAGTTGTTTCCTTAATCCTCAACAGGTTACAGGTTGTGTGTGTGGGGGGGGAGCATAGCAAGGGTGTACGTAGCTCATGACGTGGCCGTGATGATGTGGGTCAGGTGTTAGGTCAGACACGACAAGGATTAACTTGCCGCCGATACAAAGGGATGGATTAACGTCTCCAGTAGCTGCAGATATGGGTGATGAGCAGACCCAAAAGTGCCGCCCCCCCCTAGCTACGCTAGTGCGTCTAGCCACGCTATCCCACCTCGTCACACTATCCCGCCTCATCCTCAGGCTAGCAGGTGTTATTGTATCCCTCAGGAGGAACAGGATAGGTTGAGGTATGTCATGGGATGGATGGAATGGGATACTGTACCCTGAATATCATGGGGTAGGATAGGATACTGTCTGTACCCTGAAATCCCTGATATTTGAAGTAATCCCAAGTCTACACTATCCTTTCCCTTCCTTGACTATCCCACCTCTTCCTTGGTTTATTTCAGTGGGATAAGGGATAGAATGACCTGTATCTTAACTAGCCATTTCTATCTCTTTATCTGTTAGCATTGTGTAACGTTGTCAGCCCTTCACCGTTCTCTCCCTGCTGAGGCTATTGTACTCACTTAAACTTGTGGGGCTGTGAGGAGGAAGTGCTGGTGTACTTGGCCTTGTGGAGGGTGTGTGAAAGGGTGCCCAATAAACTAGCCCCCAATGCTGCGTGCGGGGGCAAAATAATCGAATCTGTAAGGAAGTGTCTGGATAGATAAATCCCGAAGTCTATCTGGTCAAAATCCCAAAGTCTATCTGGTCGAAATCCCATTACAGGGTATTAATGAACCATTGCTTTGTTTACCTAATGATTGAAGTGAGGACTAGAAACTGATGAAATGGTAGACCGAGTAATTGTTTATTTGTCTGAGGTGGTGAGGAGACGTTGCAGGGAGTTGAGACTTAGGTTTTGGCTGTGTCGTGGAGGGAAGTGTGTGTAGTCCAGCTGTTGTAAGTGTGTGTCTAAGTGTCTTGTGTGTGCCAGAGTATCTTGTGTGTGTTGCTTAGATGGTTTGTTATGACTGAGGTGGGGTGGAGTAGGTAGGGGCTGGTTTGGATTTTTAAGGGGTAGAAGGGAAGTAGGGGTTGGATTTTTAAGGGGTGAAGGGAAGGAGGGGTTGTGGTTTTAAGGGGAGGAGGTGAAAGAAAGGGGTGGAGGGTAGTGTGGAGGGTGAAGAATGGATGTTGGGGTTTAAGGAAGAGGGATTTTTCAATGTGAAATGTGGGAACCGAAACGAAATTCTACAACACTTAAGAAAAACAACAACATTATTATATAAACACTGTACCTTCAAAGAAAATTTACAAGGGAATCAGAGTTAATATATGACCAGCCACTCAGCCAGTTACCTTCGTCCCTGCGTACAATTGGATCATCGACATGCTTTGTGTGGTCTGTGGTTGGGATATCGGTAGTCGCTCTGAAGTTAAATTCGCCAGTTACCTCGGGATGGTTGTGGTTAGTTGGTAATTCGTCACACCTCCGTAGGAGTCAAGTACATGTAGATTTATCCTGGGTCAATCTTACTTACCGTGTTATTGTTACAGAACCTTGTCTTGCCTCAATTTCTTTCGACCGTCTTTCTTTGCCTGAGGGACTTGTTTGGGTGGAATTTAAGGTTTATGTGAAACTATTGAGAGTGTGTGCGTGTGTATATGTAAAGAGTTTCTATTTTTTTTTTTAACTACTATTTCATATATGCTCTAGCTGTAGTATTGTTCTATGAGTCATTTTATTTCAGTAAATACGTAATGCTGTAATTTTAGTCAATAAATTTTTGTGTTCCTTGTATTGCAGGAGTCAGCCAGGGAGCGGGAACACTCCGGTGATGAGAACGCAAAGAATTCAGGCAAAACTGAAGCAGCCGCCAGCAATGCCACTACTGCTGCTCCTCCCGCCTCCAGTAGCCTGGAGTTGCCCCCCAACGTCAGGAGTACACTCTAGAGTCTAGATTCTCTCATCAGAGAACAAACTGCTACGGGAGAGGCTGTTCCAACTGGGGGTGTCGCTCGACTCCTCTCCGCTCTCAGACCCACAGAAGGAACTGCTCTTCAGTAAAGTCTGCTCTGTCTCTCAGGTTGGTCATGCTCACTCAACCTCTTCTGTGTTAGATGTAGGTATTTGAGTTTGTGGAACATTCATAAGTACAGCCCGTAAAGTATGATATGGTGGGCTGTGGTCTCCAATCCTCCGACCTGAGTATTGATTTGAATTGAACTGGAACCTTTTGCTTATCCAGAAATTAACATAAAAACAGCCAGTTTGGATAATGTTGACTTAGCTGAGGCTTTGGTGAGCTGCAGTACTGAGCATTACATTAAAACATTTATTAATTCTCTATCTCTCTCTCTCTCATTTTATCTTTTGGCTTTGCATTCTTTTGTAATAATAACCATTATTCCACAACAAAATTAGCCCATAAGTAGGAACTGTATACTGTCCTATATACCAAATCAGGTTATAAGACTGATAGAGCCAGATAAGATTGTGAGGAAGGCGATTGTTATCAGTGCATATACAATGTGCTGGGAGGAACAACATAGTATTGTGTGGAGCACCTTGGGGCAATGTCTCATTCACTCCTCACTCCTCCTTGTGTCGTCACGTCTCTTGTGTTTTCAATATTCGTTACTGGAATGTATAATGAAGTGTCTAGAGGTAAAGGTGCAGACCATAGAGAGGGAAGCTTAGTGCTTACTTTGTGTTGCGTTTGTGGCAGGGTCAGTGATGGCGGTGACTCTTGATGAAGGTAAAAACTGAGTGAATGTTGCTTAATGCCCCTGGCAGTAGATTCACCTGGATGATAAATGACAACCACAGCAACAAACTCAGAAATCATGGCCACAAAACTCAAGCTCCCACAACGTCTCTCCAAAGAAAGTTTTCGTAAATTAGTGTCCCCGCCTCCCTTGCCTGCTCTTTAATGGAGGACTGGGCACGAGCTTCCTCCCCTGAGGCACTTCCAGATCCAATGCAGGAGGCAGTGCAGGCTCGCATCAATGCGTCTGAGCCTGTTGTTCGTGCTGCTCTTACCTCCCCTGCCCCCACTGATCATCCCATCACACAGTTCGATCTTGACAGTGCTCGTCGCTCTAGAAAAGACACCTCTCCTGGGGATGATCAGATAACCTACTCCGTCCTCAACGCCTGTACTAATATTCTTAACGGCCCCTTGCTTGCTCTCTACAATATGTCTGAACATGGGGTTATCCCGTCCAACTGGAAAAATGTCACTATTATCCCCATCCCTAAGCCGGGAGATCCTGGGAAATATCGACCCATTAGTCTTACCTCCTGTGTTTGCAAGATGATGGAGAGGATACTCCATCGTCGCCTTCTTCACACCATAGGCGGCTTTCACAACTCCCTCAATGGTTTCGTTCAACATCGCAGCACAGCACACTCCATTGCTTCCTTTTATTGCAATCAGACTGCCCGCATCTCCGTCTTCCTTGATATCAAGGGAGCCTTTGATACGGCTCAGCCTGCCCTCATTTTAGCTGAACTTGCGCGGTTAGGGGTTAAAGGGAGACTTCTACAATGGATCGCCTCTTACCTCACTGGAAGTCAGGCCCGGATTCGCGTTGAAGGCTCTATGTCTACTGTTCAAGAAATGAACCTCGGCACCCCTCAAGGTGGAGTCCTGAGTCCCACCTTGTTTAACACTCATGCACTCCATTGCATCTCTCCCGTGGCCGACAGAAGTTGTCCACTCAGGATATGCCGACGATGTCCTCCTCCAAGCCCCTGACTACCTCAGCATGCAGGAAGCCCTTGATCTGGTCTCCAGAGAGTGATTTACTTGGTTTCCTTCTTTCAACTGCGAAAACAAAAGCCATGTGGCACGGTCGTGTTGTACCTCCACCCCTTCTCTTATCAGGAACGCCCTTGGATTGGGTTAATGAGACAAAATATCTGGGTGTGTATGTAACTCGCACACGTTGTCAGATCCCTGAAGTCCGCTATCTTTGAGACATATGCTTTTGGCGTCTCGCTCCCCTCTCTACCATGTGCAGGGGTTCCCTTGGTGCCACCATCCCTGTACTTCTCACCATGTACAAGTCCATTGTCCGTTCCTGTGTCGACTACGTCGCCCCTGCCCTCGTCAACATTAGTCGGACTGCTGTCAACCGTCTCGAAGTTATCCAGAGGAAAGCTGCTCGTATCATCCTTGGGGCTCCTCAGTGGACACGCTCTACTTTTGTATATACCGAACTTGGTCTTTCCCCCTTACAGGATCGTGTCCAGGAGTTTTACCTAAAAACTGCTGTTTCCATTCTACAGGATCCTCGGGGCAACTATGTCCAAACCAACTTGACTCCTGCTGTCCGAGACCGACCTCCATCTAGAAGACAGTGGCGAGGGTCACTCATCCGAGCCCTTGAGGAACATGACCTCCTGCCTGATATTGTTGTCACCCCTGCTGTTGGTTCGTCTCCTTCTCCCTGGCTGGATTTTCAACCTGAAGTGATTGCCCTCGGTGGACCGCTCCCGAAATCCCAGGTGAACCCTGTTATTCTCTGCAAATACCACCTCTCCAGGATCGCTCACTGGTCCCCAGGTAGGGTCGTCCTCTACACTGATGGTTCTGTTGACCCCGCTACAGGTAGGGCCGGGGCTGGTGTCTACATCTCCCGTCCTCATGCCCCTGAGCCTCTCAAACTGTCTCTCAGAGTTTCTGACGGGGCATCCTCCACTCAGGCTGAATTAATAGCCTCCTTGCTGCCCTTCTCGCTGAGGAAGAAGTATGTTTCTTTCCCCTTGCTTGTCTGTTGCCATATTCCAGGTCTGGCTCTCGATGGGATCGTGATTTGGATCAGGGGACAATAAGGACCTCATCCTCCTGCCACGAGGGTTAACATCCACACTTCAGGTTGTGAGGTCAGCCCCAGACATTCCTATGGATACCAGTCATGTCGGTATCTTGGGGAATGAGGCAGCAGATGGTCTTGCCAAGACTGGCTGCAACAAGGCCAATAATCTGACTACGCTTGTTCTTCTAACACTTTTGCAGCTTAGGACCCAAATTCGCTTAAACAGAGAGAACTCGGAAGCAGCTATCCCTAGACACCCCGCCCACCTGGTACGAGTGTCCTCCGAAATTTCTGGACCTCTCTCTCGTGACAGGCCTACAGGAAAGGGTGGGTCGCGAGGGGACGGATTGCTGCCCGTATCATCATTGGGTATGACTTTGCTTGGGAGATTGGTATCCCCAAGATCCCCTGAGCAACGCTCTTGTGCTTTTGGCGCAGCTATTCACAGCCGCACTCCCTTATCCACTACCTCCTAAGATGTCCCTGCACACACAACGCCTGGACGCCACATGGACCAATTACCTACCCACTTCGACGGAGACACGATGATCCTCCCCTATACTGGCCAGATATTTTGTAACACATGATTATGTGTTAAAGGAATATCCTTCCTTCCTTAGGGTTTAGTAAGCCTTTATAATAACAGTAGAAGTCCAAAAATCCGACTGCTTGGGGATTGGCCGGTCCGATTTCGGATTTTCCGGATTCTCAGGCAGTACTTTTAAAATTAAAATTTAAGGAGGAATAAAGAAGAGATGAACAGGTACATTTTGATAGTTTATTCATTATCAAATAAAGCATGCTTCTTTCATCAAAACGAGCAGTTTTAAAGAAAAATAAAGTCAACACTAGACAAAAATGTAAACAAACTGTCTAATACCATGACGAAGTCTTGAAATTCCTAAGCCATCCATCACTAAATGTGCACTCTGATTCAATGTTCATTTACCCTTAAAAGACTTTTGCTTTGGCAATAAGCGCCGCCCAGAAATTGCCATACCTTCTGATCGTTTTAACAAAACCATTCGTGCAACACTTTATCAAGATTTTCTAATTTGGGCCAATATAAACTTTTTCTTTCAGCAATTTTAATGTAAGGCTCAGAAGAAGCTGTGAATTCTAGAATTTTATTCTTTTGCTTTTTTATATCATAAATTGTAGACTTTCCAATGTTGTATGTTTCATTAGAACAGCATTGCTCACATTACATTCTAGTTTCTTAATTATTTCAAGTTTGTCACCAATTTCAATGTGTTCTTCTTTTCTTCACACAACGAAGTTTATCTACTTTAGCATTATTATGGGCTTGTACTCTGTACATGGAAAGAGTAGGACTCAAAATTACACGTTATTGCTGTTTGATTGCTTGTTTTAAAGTGGCGATCGTGGTCGTTTGTTGTCATAGTGCCGCTGTGGCATTCACGCATGCACACATACACACAAAAGATTTATAGTGCCTCAAATTTACATTTCAGTTCAAGCTAATTACAAAACTAACAAAATTAGCTACCTATAATTTACAATTAATTTTATTATTAGAATTATGTAAATTAATTTTTAAAGCAACTCCATTCATTCACATAACCCACCAAAGCCCGCAAAATTTAAAAGTTTGAGTTTTGAAAAGTCCGGATTTCGGTGGTCCGATTCCGGCATCCGGATTTTTGGACTTTTACTGTATTTATACTGTATATACTTGTCACACTTGCCAGATGCTTTGGTGTCATTGTACAGGGTACCTAGTGACAGCACTAGGATCCCGCTTCCTCTATCAGGAATAAACAATTGAAATTGAAATTTAATTAGTGTCTGGAACGCACGGGAAGAGCAGCTTACGCTATACCAACTCCATCTTTAAAAGTCATATTATGTAAATGAAAATAATTCTTAGGTTCTTACCATTGTTTTTTATTGTTGACAAAGTGGATTGGATAGTTGCCTTGAACTTCATTTTGTACTTTCACATGTTTAGGATTTATGCTGGATGGGCTGGTTCTTGATCTAATATATTTGAAGATAATATTTTACGATGCATTTTACAGTAGATGTGATTTAAGAGTGAAGAACATACATACAGATATATCATAAATCATGTACGGACAGTAAATGTAGAGGTAGCAATAGGTACAGTATGGGTACACTACAGTGCTTAATTATCAGAAGTTTTAACCAGAAGCCAATTTTTTTTTTCTGGTTAGAAAATATGAGTTATTAGATGAAATGGAAAAGAATGAATGAACAAGTCTATAAGTCCCCATAAGAA